GACCTGTGATTTAAAGTGCAACTTGAGACCAACTGTAATAAAACCATAAGATCATAGAAATTCACAGCCGTTCAGCCCATCATATCTGTGCTTGCTCTTGTAAGAGCATTCCTTTCAGTCCCATTCACTTAACCTCTCCCTGTCCCCTTGTCATTTACTCCTTTTTAGGTATTTATCTAGTTCCCTTTTGAAAGCTAATATGGATCCTGTCTCAACCACTGCTCCTGGCAGGGCAGTCCATATCCTAGCTACAACAACAACAACAACAACAAGATTCCATTTATAGAGTGCCTTTCACGTCGGGAGGACGTCCCAAGGCGCTGTACAGTTGGGTCAGGACTCGAGCAAAGGGGAAATGGTCAGGGTGAGGGGAGGAGGGGGAGGGGGGGGTAGAGAGTCGAGAGCTACTCTGTGTGTGAACAAAATTCTCCTAACTTTACTAGTGAGCTCCATGCCACTCCATGCCACTTGTCACTACCATGGTCTGTCGAGGAGACAGGTCAGACCGCACATAGGCGAGGAAGGATGAAATAGAATTGCACTGCAGCAGAGCTCCCAAATTAACATAGATACAAGGTGTTGGCACTTGGGACTCTGTGCTTAATAAGGCAAAGTACATTATCATTGGCAAATTGAACCCATTCCACTTCAGGCATCTGTTGTGAATGCCAAGCATTCACAGATCAGGTACAGTAGAGCTATTAATAATAATAGATAATAATAAATAATAAATCTTACTCCCAACCTCAGAGGAGTATTATCTACTGCTCTAGCCTCATGTCTTTTGTTTCTTCCAACAGCTATCTTTGTGGGCTCTCTGAGAACGTTTTGCATCAGTTTTGTGGCTTGGGTTTACACTCATTAGGAACTGTATTTTGTGGAGTCATTAGAATGGGGCAAAGCAAGGACATTATCCAAAACTACAGTACTACACTGGTTAGAAACACAAATAAAAACACTTATTCACATAAAGGGTTGTGAGACAGAGGGAGGTTTGTTCACACTATACAGTAAATCTTGAGAATTGTTTTAAGATATCCTCCCAACATAATAGGCATTATATCATATGCAAGAATTTACGTGTGATATTCCCACTAGCCTGACTGGTCTCCTGTTCCTCTGTTCCTAGGAGGAGATCAATTGGAATCAATTAGTTTAATTGGAAATGAACTCAGGTGAAAAGCTCACTCACTGCTCAATGTGGTTCTTTCTCCCATTGTCTTTCATTTTAAAAGGTTGCAAATAATAAAATGTGCAGCATTTGAATCCTATTAGCAGTTGGGATTCTATACTGGAGATCTTACTGTAGTCAACCTGGTTGTGTCATTCAATGCAACCTGTTTAATTTTCACTTGAAATAGAAAGGAATTCTGATCAAGGAGTTCCCAGGTTTGAAGTGTGGTCTGTGTAGCGTAATGTGAGCTAATGTAAAGCCAGACAACAATAACAACAACAAATTACATTTGTATAGGGTCTTTCACGTTAGGAGGACTTCCCAAGGTGCTGGGGCAGTAAGCAAGCTATAATTAGGGTCACTGTGCCTTGGAAGGAAAAAAATCATTCAGGTTTCCTGTTCCTGATCACTATTCAATAACCCTACAGCAACAACAATTCCCATAGCAGCTTATTTTACACGCAGCAATACCCCACAAACAGCCAATATATGAATGATCAATTTTATTTGGGGGATTGTTGGCCAGGCCACCGGGAGAAACTTCCTTCTCTTTACGAATAGGGCCAAGGGATCTTTAACCTCCACTTGAACAGGCAGGTGGGACCTCCGTATATCAGAACAGCTGAAGGACAGTGTCTCCACTCCAAGAAGGTTGTTGGTTTATACTTTGGGACTCCAAATCCAAAAAGCAACGTACCCAGGCACCTCACTGGACTGTCAGCCTAGACTATACAAATTCTGTCCCAAAGTATGAACCAACAACCTTCTTACTCAGAGGTGAGCATCCTATCAACTGAGCCAGGCTGAGGGACCTGGTGTTACACACGAAACACGAGTGCCTTTCACATAGGGAGAACATCTCAAAGCACTTTACAAAACGCTTGCTGGCAAGTGAGTGGAATGTGGACATTAGAGAATAGGATTGGGCTTGAGTAATGACTGTTCCATGATTTAGTAGCCTCTTGAATCTCGGAGCCTCGGCTCCCACATGTGAAATGGTTACTTGAGCAAGCTATCAGAGGGCAATAATAGGATTTAGATCTATGCTATTATTTTAGTAAACCTTATGCCTTATTGCGTCGTTGAATCATCTCAAAGAGCCCATAGAGCAGTATCTCAGTGGGAAGCCGATTGAGGGGAAAATGTGCTTTTTAAAAAAATCTTCACACAAGGATGATTTGACTGAAGCAATGTTAATGACTAAAGCACATGCCTTTTGAGTTTTCATTAAACATCCTGGGAGAGTCTGAGGCTTTTTGCACAATGAAGGAAAACATCTGTTGGGAAGATATCCAGTTCTCCTGATCACAACAAGGCCAGGCTTTAAAGAATCCAATGGAGAAAAAGGGAAGAGAAAAAGAGGAAATGAGGGCTAACATTGCCAAGAAATTCCAAGATTCCCACCATCTAAACTTTACATTTCCAGCACCAGATGTCACACACATAAGCATCTTTTTCGCCAGGCTGCAAAGCGGTTGTGTATTTTTTTTCCCACGTTTGTATTTCTGTTACTCATCGCCCACTGTTGGGCTAGCTTGGCTGGGTTTGTTGAATTCCCGCTTATGGGTTAGAGAATTGTGGGTTCCAGGCCCACAACCGAATCTAAGCTCATAATCTAGGTATGACAATTCTGTGTAGTACTGAGGGGTTCCATGTCCCCACCACTTTTATCCTACAGCACAGACTTTAAAACCAATGTTCAAGTACAAGTTATCGATCTGTGGTTTAACATGGTTTAACCTTGCCTTATCACATCGTTGAACCATGTCAAAGAGCTTCACAGAATTTATTGTAGAGTATTGTGACTGTACTTTATAGTCGAATGAGGCAGCCAAGTTACACACAACAATGTCCCACAAACAGCAATGAAGCAAATTATTTTTTTATCTGGGGTATTGTTGGCCAGGACATTGGGAGAAGCTCCTTACCATTTTTAAATAGTGCCATGGGATCTTCAGCATCCATCTCAAAAGTAACGTTGGTTTAACCTCTTATCCGAAGAATGGACTATTTTGCACAACAGGCCATTCTGTATCCTTCTTCATGCTAAGACAATGTACATACCTTGCTTACCCAGCCCCACTCCCCAGAAAGATAGTGTATGGTGGCCTACATAATACATACTACAACCTCTCCTAAAGCGAATACTAGCTATAGAACGAAATACCTTCTGAAAACAATTGTTTAACCTTCGGCTTGTTACTGCTGAAACTCATCCTACAACAACAGCAATTTACATTTATACCGTGCCTTTCACGTCCAAAACACCGTGCTTCACATCTCAAAGTGCTTCTGATCGCAAGCTGTGGGGGCACCTGAAGAGGGTTGGGGGGGTTAAATGCATGGTTGAAAAGATAGATCTTAAGTAAGGCAAGCTTTAAAAGTGGAAAGGGAGGAGCGAGATGGAGGGACTCCAGGATGGAATTTCAGAGAGGGGTGGGGGAGCCAGAAAGGCTGAAAGCTTGCCCATTGATTGTGGGTAGGGTCAGGTGGGAAACATGAAGCAGACCAGTGTTTGCTGAGCGAAAGGAGAGGCTGAGGCAATAAGGCTGTAGGAGGTCGCAAGGGCAAGACTGTGGAGGGGTTTGAACAAAACTTGAATTCTATCTGCTGGGAAATGGGGAGTCACGGAAACTGAGTGTGGATGGAGAAGACTTGAGGAGCCTGGTATTGTAGCGGGCATGGGGTGCAGAGTTCTGGACTACAACTTGTGTAGGGAGGAGCTGGGGTATCTGGTGAGTAACATGCACCAGGTCTAATTGACCAACGTAATGTTCAGTGCATGAGGCGGAACATGGCTATGTTAAAGAATTAAGTTTATCAGGTTCATTATTGCCTCTCTTCCAAAAAACATAACACATTCCACTGGTGGAACACCTGCTCACTTTGGGAAGGAATGTGTGGCTGAGCTGTGGGTAGGCAGATGGTGTCAATGCTTTCATGCAATTCATGCTCAATCCCTAGTGACTATCCTTCGGGGGGCACGGGTGGTGGTGGGAAGCAAGGTCATGTGTAACATGTTTGGCAATGGAGTGCCAGAATCAAGCCGTCCCTGTGTACTAGTACCACCTGAGCTGGACCGGTCTGCAGTACTCCAAGGATAATAATAATCCAGCCAACCTGGATCATCAGCAGGACTTGGAAAGGCAGACCAGTTACTGGGGGCAGAAACTCTTCCCAGTTAGCATCTGTTAACTCTGCAAACCCATATCCTAATGGGTGGTCCAAGCTGGATAAGCAGCGGGAAAGGCAGACAAGTGTTTTCAATGGTACGCTATATGGTTTTAGCTGGTTAGACTCCAGCAATATCCCAACACACACTCTGGGGTCCCCAAGCCTTAGCTCTTGCCTAACAGTCTCCAGAATTAGGCAAGCAGGATGCATCCCTCCAGGGAGAGAGTGTGCATCCCATTCCAATAAATATTTCTGGAGTTTCCATGTCTGGTGGTGTGCATGGAACTGCCTCAGGAACTGGATTACTGAGACCTCCACAGAGAGTTAGCTCGATTCTGACATTCCTTTGACAAACATGTCACCTTGGAACCAGTTCAGCTCTAAGGAGACCCTGCTTGCTTCCCCCCTCCCCAAAGAGGATAGCCACTAGTTGGTCATTTGACATCCAACAAGCGCAAGGTTTGAGTCCTCACTAGGTGGATGGCAGGTTACAGGAACTTCGTGAGATTTACTTCACAGAAAAGCTTTGTGAAGATCTTGGAGATATAAGGCACCATGTCAAATGTGTAGCAAATGTGGGGGAATGAGTTAATATAGGGAGCTCGGGGCACTGCAACTTACGAGGTCCCAGAATAAGAAACCACAAATTGAGTACTGTAGGAAAAGATTTAATTTAATTGAATCTTTGGAAGGCAGTAGTCATAGATTCGAGTACAAGATATAACACAACAGTGTGAATTGTCTAGGCTTTCTGTGTGTCAAGAATACAAACATTTGAGTTAAGGCTTTTTTTCTTCCATTTTGAAAGCAACAATTTACACAAGCATCAATGTCATAAAAAGTTTAGAAAAAAATCAAAAAACTCTTACAGAATACAAAACATGAAACAACGTACAAGAAAAGAAATTGACCATATAATTATAGATATCTTTAATTTTTTTCAATAACAAAAAACATTTTTTTCATTTTTTTTCTCGTTTAAAGTGATATTACACAAAGAGAAATAATACTATAAAAGAAAAATGTCTCTTTAACACTGCTTTTACAACACGTGAGGGGGATAAAAACCAACTTTGTAGCGTATGTTTCAGTGCAAGCAATTGTTAATTCAGGCCACTGGCCTGAAGCCAATTGCAATGTTAATTTCATCAGTGTCCAGACAGCTGTCCTGTGTAGCAGTTAACAGATCCTATCATTTCCCTCATCATAAAGGTCATGACTGCCTCAGTGTTCATTGAGGCTTGATGCTATTCTTTTCCAGATAGGGGAACTCAGAGATGGGGGAGAGGAGGGCAAAAAGAAAATCAAAGCACTGTATACTCAAAGTATAAAATCTGGACCAATATACAAAAAACATAGGTATTTTAAGCCCTTTCGAAACACTCTTATGAAGCTGAAATAGTCATTATACAAATAGAATGATACAAATTTATAACTCTTTACAGAAAATGATAAATACTTGTAAAATGATCTCACTTGGTCTCAATACCAGCATTTGTTTATTTAAACCTTTAATTTAAAAATCAAAAAGCAGACTGTACATAATTCCTTTTTTTTACATAGCATCCTGTTTGATTTCTTTAACAGTTGCTCCTACGAAAAGCTTGGCTCAGTCACAGACCAGCAATACCCAAAGCTCTTCTCCGACCTTCCCAAGACTGACCGCTACAAAAATTGAAATCCACAGTTTTCTGGGTGGGATTTTCCTCAAGTCATCCTAATGTTCCTTCCTCCCCCAGAGCTTCCCTTTCCACCACACTCCTCACTCATCGCCCTCCCCCCCCACCACCCCCCACCAAGCAGTGTACTCTCAGGCCTCGGAGTATGAATTTTGTGTGCTAAGTTTGTCCTTTTTCAGTTTCACTCCATCTACGAGTTCAAAGTTGTAGTTCTCCAAAGCTGAAAGATTTCTGTCAGACAGTGCGCTGTGCCAGCAGGCACAGTACAGGACCACTCCGCAGATGGCCCCCAGAATGACTCCCAGCGCGCTCATGGCTATAATAGTGATGAGAATGGGGTCAAGGGTCTTCAGTACATTGCCAGGACCCCCAGAGCTCCCACCAACGGAGTCATTAGTGGGATCCTCAGGGTCATCGACTGAAAAATAAAATACATTAATATAGTATTAGCCTTTTAAAAGCTTAGTCTAGGACTGCATTTCTTTATGCATCAATTTTGAACAGTAAAGTAGGATAAGATCATTTAATTCTCTACATATATTTTCTACATCCAGTAAAAGATTACCAGGCAGCTCATTTGCCAAAGGACAGTTGAGCAACACATTTATCAACAATACAATTTGCAAATGAGTAGTGTTGCGACAGTATATTACAAATCTACAGTTATATAGCGCATTTCACATTGCTAGGATGTCTCAAGGCACTTGATAGTTCTGGTTTGGCACCTGGGGGTGGGAAAGCTCTCCGGGACACTACCCTGCGTGAAAGGTGTTATATAAGTGAAAGTTGTAAAAAAATGTTGTTCTTGAAAGATAACCAAAGGTGCAGTCAAACAGAAAGGTCTTGATGCGGGGAAATGGAAGATGTTCCTATTTCAAGCACCCAGTTATTATTCCCAGCGAGCACTCCAAATTGGGTATGGCAAAAATGTGATGTCGAGTCAATTTCTCTCTACTCCAACATTGAGTACGATTTCAAATTACTGTTATCACACTAGGCATCTTGTGGCCTCCCTGTATAGGGCAATATTTGAAGCAGTTTGTGTTTTGGGCGCATGTTGATGAGGATTTAGGTTGAGTCTGTCGAAACTCATTTCATGCTGGATCCCGGAAGTGAAATAACAATTTGCATCTACATGATGCTTTTCATGTAAATTAATTCATGTAAGAAGTCAAAGTGGTATGTAATTAGGATTTTTCTGAAGACAGGGAGAGAGGAATCAAGGCAAAGTGGAAGAGAGTTGCAGATGACTGAATTATTGGGCACTGATGGAAGAGTGATAGGAGTGAGGAACAAGCATTAAATCTAAAGTTGTCAGAGCAGAAGGTATGGCTGGAATTGAGGGCTGAGATAATTGCATAGGTAGAATGGGGAGAGACAGTGGAGGGATTTGAAGACCATGACAAGGGTTTAAAACTCCACCCCCTGAGAACCAATGGAGCTTGTTAAGGATGGCGGTATGAAGCCTTGAGCAGAGGGGCCCTGCAAAGTACTGGATCTGCTGATATTTGTGGCAAGTGGAGCTAGGAAGGGCATAATTTATTTCTCTTTTATGTATTTTGGTGATTGACAAGCTAGAGAAATGTAACAAATTCTAACTGGCTGAGCGATAACTAACATTTTCCAGCAACAAGGCTTCAGATGTTCAGATCTTCATTGTCTGATGCCTCTGTTGCCTGTGGTTATTATCTCCATTACTTGGGATATACGTAAAAATATTTCATGTACTATTCATAACAACTGAAAATAGAACTCACCAGTGGGAAAGACTGATGTGGGACCATCTACCAGACCTGGAAAAGCATTCCTAGGAGCTAAATAAAATGAAACAAACAGTCAGTAAAGCACCATCGAGTTTGCTTCAATGAAAACCTACAAGTCCTCGAACTTGCAGAACATTCCTGCAAATAGCCTTAAGCACATTTTAATGTAAAACATAATTCACATGCTAATAGTTTGTGCATTTGGAATTCAAACCATTAGGTCAGCTGCTATACACTGGGCCCCAGCGTTATGTCTATCTCTTAAGATCTGCTATGATCACATAAACCGACGGATCAGACAAAGGGCTGAATGATTTCCCTTGCCTGTTCCTATGGTTCTCTTAAAAATAGACCTACCTGAGACTGCACTATCACTTAAGCTAAATACAGCATTTTATTCGAATACAATGGGAGTTTTTTCAGGCTTGATGAGTGTCCCCCACACTCTTGGTGCTCCATCAATGGTCGAGCTTTCAGTTCCTAACCTCTGGACGCTCCCTCTACCACTGCATCTCACCCCTCTCTCTGTCTTCAACTCCAACCTCAAATCCGACCTCTTTGAATGTGCCTATCTCCCCCTCCCTCTCCTGCTCGGTGTCCAACTCAGACCTTGTAAAGCACTCTGAGCCGTTACCCTATGTGAAGGGCACTAAATGAATGCAAGTTTTACATCTGTCCTAAAAGTAATAATAATCCTTGCATTTGATATAGCATTTTTCACATCTTCTCGACATCTCAAAGCGCTTCACAGAATAGACTGTAAAGTGAATTGCACACAGCAGCATCCCACAAATAGTCGTGGATTGAAAATTACCAATTTTTTATTATTGTTTTTGTTTTGGAGGGATTATTATTAGGTGGGTGGAGTAAGGAAATTTGCCCAAGTTTCGCCCTGCCTGGAATTGAACCCAGGTGTCTTGCTTGCAAGGCGAGTGCTCTAACCACTGAGCTACAGGATTCACAAAGTGACATTGTAGAAACAGCTGTGGGTGAAACACTTGGCTCTGTAAAAATCCCTTAACCATCTTGAAGCCCAAAATTCCATCTCAACCTGTAAGACGGTTTTGTTTCTAAATCTAACATCGGGCAAAATTCTGGAAAATTTGTAAATTCAGTTTTAATTTGGAAGTTGTTTTTCTGCTGTCCAAATTGAGACTGAATTTAAGAATTTTCCACATTCCTTGTGCGACCTTCAATTTGAATCAAAATAGTCTTACAGGCTGGGTAAAATTGGAAGCTTCAGATCTTTCACCGCCATTAAGATTTTTTTTTCTGGTATCACCAGGTATAATTTCCAATGCACGCTCGGGCTGTCTTGCATAGGATGATAAGGTTTCACTGTGAACTGCTATGCTATCTCTGCAGTGTCACATAGCAGCGCTATTAACTGTCATTGGTATTATATCAGGGAATCTAGCAATATGCACTAGTTTCAATGATAAAGATAATATTATATAATAATCCTTGCATCTGATAATGCCCTATCATGTCATTGAGACATCTCAAAATGCTTCACTAAATTTTACTAGGAAGTGTACTGACTGTGTATTTGTAGGCAAATGTGGCAGACAATTTACACACAGCAATGTGACCTTTTTTTATTTGGAGGGATTGTTAGCCAGGCTAGGACACTGAGAGAAACACCCTTCTTTTTTCAAATACTGCTATGGGAATAGTTAATGTCCACCTGAACAAGCAGACAGGACCTCCACTTAACGTTTCATCCGAAGGACACCACCTCAATGAATACCTCAATGAATACAGAGTTCCCCCAGCACTACACTGGAGTGTCACCCTAGACCAGGGGTGGGCAATTATTTTGGTTGGCGGACCACTTTACGAGTTTTGGTAAGCTTTGTGGGCCACACACTTAATATAGATGCAAATGCTTAATAATAGCTCAAAGTCAAGTCTTACACTTGTACATGCATAAAATAAAGTCTGTATAATTGACATTCGTTAAAATTAGGTTAAATAAAAACAACTCATTGAGCAGACATTTATTCGAATTTTGTTCATTTATTCACATATTGATGAGAATGTGAGAAGCTCACTCAATGGGAAAAATGAAAGCGCTGATGTGCGTTAACCAGACAATTGAAGTCAGGTATTGTCTCCGTTGTTGCAATGTGGAGTACTGCTGCAAGGTGGTCATCAGTCATCACAGATCTATGTTTTGATTTATTGAATTTCATCACATTGCGTATGTATGTTGATCCAAACAGCACAAGCATCGTCCGGGCATGAGGCTTTATTTTTGGAAAGGTATATTCATTAAGAGAGGCGTAAAAACTGGGAATTGGCACTGATTTGAATTGCTCCGCAAGCAATAGATCACTATTGCAGGTCAATAAGCTCGAGTTGGAGGTCAAATGGGGCTTTGTCAACATCAAATGAGAAAGGTGAAGAGACCAAAGACAGGTCATTTTCGATCAAATTGAAATCCTGGAATCGGTGAGAAAATTCAGCATGTAAGTCAAGTAGTGACAAAGTATACTTTTTAAGGCTTTGATCGCAAATCTGCTGCAAAGTTGGAAAGTGGGTGAACTGCCTGTTTCCTATCTGACGTGATAAAAGAAATAATTTTGTCATAAATGACTTGACACTGCAATACAAATCATGCACAAAGGCCCTCTTCCGTTGCAGTTTTGAATTCAGTTCATTCATGTGGCCCATTATATCAACGGCAAATGCGAAATCAGAGAGCCAATTCACATCATTCAGCTGTGGGAAATCCGAATCTTTTAGTTTCATGCCCAAAAATTATTAATCTCTGTTCTCAGTTCCCACACGCTTTTCAAGACCTTTCCTAAACTAAGCCATCTTACATTTGTATGATACAGAACATCCGTGTGCTCAGATTCCAATCCTCAAGCAGAGTTACAAATTGCCTGTGGTTTAATCCTCTTGTTCGAATGTGGTTGACCACTTTCGTAACTGTGTCCACGATATTGCTTAGTTTTAGAACACTCTTACAGAGGACCTCTTGGTGGATAATGCAGCGTAGAAAAACAATATTCTGTTCTGGATTTGTTTCTTTGACTCGATCTGGAATTCTTTTCAGTAACCCAATATTTTTGCCTGTCAGATTTGGGCTTCCATCGGTGATCACATTCACCAATTTTTTCCACTGCACTCCTAATCTTAAGATACACTTATTTACTGCCTCCAAAAAGTTTCTCCAGTTGTCGTATTTTTCATTGACTGCATTGACGCCAATTCTTCTGTGAGCTCAAAATGTTTGGTGATACCTCGAATAAAAATTATCAACTGGACTGTGTCTTTGACATCACAACTCTCATCGAGTGCCAGTGAAAAACATGCAAAATTGCTTATTCTATTTTGTAACTAGATACAGTTCTCAGAGATATCCTCGACACGTCTCACAGTAGTTCGCCTTGACAAGCTAATGTTCTCGAACTGTTTTTTTTTGTCTGGGCATAAAATCGAGGCAGAGTCAACCATACATTCCTTTATAAATTCTCCTTCAGAGAATAGTTTGCTGTTCTTGGCAAAATTGTGTGAAATCACGTAACTCACTCTTGTAAGTTCATCCTGGGACGCAAATTGTTTTGTGAAAATGCTTTGGTCTTTTTGCATTCAAACAACCATCTCATCACTTTCTTTTCTTTTTCTTCGAGAGAAAAGTTCGTATATTTGCAAGTATGTTTGCTCTCAAAACGGCGATTCAAGTTGTAGTCTTTGAGCAATGCCACACTTTCGTTGCAAATTAAGCGCACAGCTTTTCCACCCACACTAGTAAAAAAAAATGTTGTTGAATATTCGTCCTCTTCAGTGAAAAGTATTGCTATGATTGCTGCACGCGTTTGAAAATTTCCCGATCCGTACATTTGACGTCAGCCTGATTCCAAGGGAGCGTGCGCACAACTAAGCAGTGTGATTGGTTGATGTTCCCGGTCTGATTCAAATGCAAAATTTGTGGGACTTTCTGGGACTGAACGAACTATAATTTTTTCTATTGCTAGACACAATGACGGGCCAGATAGAATCATTTGGCAGGCCGGATATGGCCCCCCAGGCCGTCTTTTGCCCACCCCTGGTCTTGACTGTGAGTTATACCTGGTGATATCAGCAAAAAAAATTCTTAATGGCATAGAAATATCTGAAGCTTCCAATTTTATCCAGTCTGTAAGACTATTTTGATTAAAATTGAAGGTTGCAAAATGGTGGACTTGAATCCACAACCTTTTGATTCAAGAGGTGAAAGTGCTACCAATTGACCCAGGCTGACATACAAAGATGCGAACACAATGCACAGCACTTTTTCGTGTGAGCAAGTCAATTAAACTGAATGTTTTCTGTGCGGGGTCTTCAAAGGTAACTAATAATGGATCTTATATTTTTACAGTTTCTGAGAACCTGCATTTTTAATACTCAGAATTCCTTCTATACACGTTTGTACATGGTAGACAAAACCAATAAATTCGGCTTTCCCAGTGTGCTTTTAAGGTGTGTCAGCTTTTAGCTTTATAGGTATTTTCTTCATGACATCCAGCTTTTATTGTCAGAATCTGTGTGTGCCGACAGTGGAATTGCAATGCTATTGTCAGTCATTACTACATTTTATACCAAACACAGCTTGAGGTCCTCTGCCCACTGGAGCAAATAGCAGCAACTGCTGCCAGTTTCGTTTTTGAGTAATCTCAAGCAATCGAGCACCTAAACATATTCAGCAATTTATTTTCAGTCTGCAAATAGATTGGCAATTGGATGAATTAGCATCCAGATCTTCGGCAATCGTCTTTTTGGGCTCCTGCACATTCCTACTCATTCCTACATAGAGCAGACTTGAGCAATGCAGAGCAGTTTGATTCTTTGATACTGATACTTCAGCTACCTCTTTGCACCAGGCTACAGGGTATCTCCTGAACTCCGCTGAATTGTAATTGTGTAGATTTCAGGTAGGGACAGGTTTTGTTATAATATTGGAGTCTAACTTAAAATAATTTAAAAAAAATGTTTGATGTGGGCACGTTTCACATAAGGAGGACTTACTTTCACATCAGGATTTACTGTAAAGTGTTTGTAGGTGAATGTAGCCGTCAATTTGCTCACAGCAATGGCCCACAAACTGCTATTAAGTGAAAGACCAATTTTATATGGGTGTTGCTGACTGGAATACCAGGAGAAACTCCTTACTCTTTCTGAGTTGAGCTTGAGATCTTTAACGTCCACCTGAACAGGCAGCGGGACCTCACTTTAACATCTCATCTGAAGGACGGCAGCTCAAACAATGCAGCGCATCCCCAGCACTGCACTGGAGTGTCAGCCTAGAGAGTTGTCTGGTGCCTTTGGAACTGAGGCCCGGCACGAAACACCAGGAGGAAATTGGGGGGAAAATAAGAAGAATAAATGCTTGAGAATGGATGTTGATATTGGACTTTGTGTGTGTTCAACTTCCTCTGGTATAAACACCACCAGGGTCAGCAAAGCAAGGTTACTTTCATTTGATCTTGAACGCAGAGACTTATCCTAGATTGATCAACATCATCCAGTCCACATGTCGTCATATGTATTGGGCAATAAGAGATCACCTCTCCTTAAAGGTAATGGGTAACATGCACTCATATAAATAACAATCACCACACCTGGCCCAGTACTTTCAGTCTCAGGCTTTTACAGCCACCTCCCAAATGTTTCAATGGAAACAGGGAAGATGTTTTTCCTGGTGTTTGGAATTGTTGTCAAAGCGTATCGCTGCCAACTAATAAGGGAAAAGAGGCAAGTCTCTCTGGGCTTGAACTAGCACTGCTGTGATTTTTCTTATAAAGGTCAGCATTAACCCAAGATGGACGTAAGATCTGTCCTTAGCCCTGCTAGTCAGACCCTGTCTAGATAAATACCTCTCTTTGCACTTTCCCTAAAAAGCTTGCAGCTTATTAAAATTCAAGCCAAATTAAAACAAATGCTTATTCTTACCCATGCACTCATTGGCATTTCTGTTGCTCACGACCTCCACATCATGCACAGCCACTTCGCCCTGTTTTCCCTTTCTAACCATTACTTCGAAGCCCACCTGAAAGAGAAGACAACATTTACAATGGCCAAACAACAAGCTTTTGCTCCTTTATAAAATCAAATGTTTAAATTCAAACTGCAATACGTTTTCATTGTTATCAAAAACTCTGGTGAAATGTCTCCTGAACTTCAAGACAATCAGGCCCAGACTTCCAAGACATCAATCAATTTTACAGCTTGTATTGTTAACCGTGAGCAGTTGTGCTCCACACATGACATTCTCAGTGACTAAAGAGAATCTGAGTACTGGTGCCACAGTGTACGTGCAATATTTAATCTTCTCTGTCTGTACTTATCCTTGTAATCTTCGATCCTCTGGTTAATGATAAAAATGTAATGAATACATTGCTATTTTTAGCGATCAGCAAAAAAAAATGCCTCTGTGCTCCTGTCCTTTGTAATTTGAACTTTCGTACTTTTTCCAACTGCAATATAACCTTGTCCAACTTTTTGGTTCAATGCTTTTTAGATTTAAAATCTGTAATTTCCCTTTATTAATCTCCCTTTAGCTGAAAAGGTGCAAACAAAAGATTATAAAATTGTTCATTATTACTCAAAATGTACATTAAACATTTATTTTTAACAAAGCTAATCTGATGTTTGAGCAGTTTAATTACTCTCACATTAATAATAACAATCCTAGCATTTGATGTAGCACCTTATTGTGTCTCTGAGATGCTCAAAGCACTTTACAGCACAGATTGTGTAGTTTGTAGGCAAATGCAACAGCCAATCTTTGCACAGTAATATCCTACAAACAGTCATGAAGTTAATGACCGATTATATTTTGGGGATTTTTGGCCAGGGCACCAGGAGAATCTCCCTCCTCTTATCAAATAGGATCTTTAATGTTCTCCATCTAAAAGATGGCACCTGTGATAATGTTGTGCTCCCCCATCAGTGCCCTGGAATGCCAGGCCTAGACTGTGGGCTCAAAGTCCCAATGTGGTGCTTGAACCCACAAACTTCCGATTGTTTTCAGTATCACTGTGATTGAGATGAAAACGTACAGAAATGGTTGGCTTTGGAAGACACAAGTCAACCCTGATGGCAGACAAAGCTTCTAAGTTTTAGTTTCCGTGCTCCAGTTTAATATTGTTTGTGGTTACCTGATACATGCTTGGAGATTGAGGGAGCAACACTCGACCTTCTTGCCAACGGTTCTCTTGTGGTCCATTCAAGCTCCAAAGTACATCATTCATGAAACCATCTGATATCTTCCTCTGGATCACATTCAAACGGCTCCCATGAGTTCCTCGTATCTGATACCAGAAGACCAGGCAGTGGCCATGATGAACAGGTAGCAATGGAGGGCTGAGCAACCGAGCAACCTGTCCGTCCTCTTGGCCAATTATTTCAGTGAAAATAAAATGGTCTTTTTCTGTAACAAGGGACAAGAGTGAAATTTTCAGCTGTAAGATATAAAAAACAGGCAGAACTAGAACAAGCATTCTCTTCTTCAAAAATGACATTCACTGACATTACATAAACACTTGGGAAAACATAAACCGAGAAAGGCTTGATGCCACCAAGGTAAGAGGAGGGATTAACTCTATTGAAAACATTAACAGATGCATCAATTGTCTTTGTTAGGACGACGCACAGTTTCCCTCCCCAGCAGATCAAAGATGGGAAATAAACATTCACTGAAATAAACAAATCTGGAAATTATTATCAAACAAAAAATGGTAGGTCCAAAATAAAAAAATGGTGGTCAATAGGACATTAAAAGAAAACACTTACCTGGAAGGTGGGTGCTGCCACTTAGTGGGCTGTTGTTAACCCAACAATGGTTTAGGAAAGCCAAAATATGTCCTTTACTGTAATTACTGTTAAGCGAAGTGACTGTGTAATTGTGGGTGAATTCGACGATCAAATTGCATACATGCCCCACAAACATCCGTGGAGCAAATGATTCAACTTTACTGCAAGGTATGTTAGATTAAATATAGTGTAAAGAGTGTTAGTTATTTCACACTTATAAGAGGCGGTTGTTTATCTTGCCCATTTTACCTAAATTGGGTACTCTACTGTCGGCTTCACCTTCCCTCGAATTCACTTTCCACAGAAAATTGGTGGCCTTGTCATGACGCCAGTTGCAGAAGTTCTTCCCTACGCCACTTCCAAACTTACAGTTGAAACCATTCAGGTTATCTTCGTAGGGGAAGATGGCATCTGAAAACACAAGACAAGTCTTCAGTCCCGGCCACAAAAGAAAATAAAATAAGATGTACTCATCATCCTCTCAACACCTAAGGTCACGCAACAAGGCATGGGATGGAAAGAAAGGTGCTACTTGGTCCCTTGTCTAAAGTGAAGCTATGGTCTCACTGGTTCCTAGATGTTTACTGATCTGATTCTTTAGACACATTTCTGCCACTCATACTTTGTGCCCAAATGTTTGTGAACATGTATAGTTTTAACAATAGATTTTCAATGCTGCCAAAGTACTTTCTTCTGAAAATCCAATGTGACCGTTTCCTTGTGTTGGTGCAATATTTCACCAAGTTACTGCATAATATTATATTATAAATTACAAGGTTGTGACTGGGATATTTTAAGGTGTCTTTCCTTAAATAATGGCAACTGTGCTATATATCAGTACTTTACAAACCTCTTGTAAGTAAGTTTTCATAGTATTCGACTCGCAAAGAATCATCCACCCAAAAGGGCTTTGGCTTTAGGATATCTTGAGGATATGCCCATTATGTGAAGTTGAGTCAACCATCAACAATTCCTTGGATTGCTGCACATGTGCTTTGGTTGGTTAGAAATCTCTCTTGAATTCAGTAAAATCCTTAGATTCCACTCACAAGAAGGATATTTTAGACATCGTACTCATTTTATAATTATGATCCTTGTGTTTGATATAGTGCATAACGCATCCCTAAGCACCTTTTATGTTATTGACCTCGAAAGCTGTATGGACCATTCCTACACTCATACATTCATAAAGCAAGTACCATCTAGTCCCAAGTCTGGTGCTTAACAGCTTTAACTATATCCAAGCTGCTTTCCCCCCCATTAACACAGTCAAAGCGAGTGGATGGGATAATTGCAGCATTGAATCATACAGATGACTGTTAAATGCAGACATTGAACCCATTGCTGCACTTAAAACAACCAGAATACAATTCGTAAAGTACACAGAACCTTTCTTTCTGAGGTGGTTTGCAAATGTACTGTCCACTCATTAAAAGAAAGCCACAATTCTCGATCTGTAATGATTTAAAATAGGAAGCAAAAACCTTGCAGCTCTGCAACACAAGACGTCCCCTGCAGCATGCGATAATTGAAAGGTACGTGTGTAACATCAATTGTAGCAAATTGAAGGTAATTCAGTGAAAGGATGATTTAATAGTTTCCCTTAATGTAGTCCAGTAAAATCGAAACCAGTCATCTGAGGGACCACCAAGAAAATAGTCCCTATAAAGCCTCTTCTTAATCCTCTACTGCTGAGACTGATGTATATTGGCAGTTATATATTAGTAGGCTGTCGAGCATGCTTAATGAGGCAATAAGGAATGAGAAGGTGCAATGGGTTTTAACACAGGAGAAGTTGAGCGTCCTGGAACCTGGTGAAAGAGCACACTTTTGTGTTTTGTGTTGCCATTACATACAGGTGTGCATAGCTGTTCAAATGGAAATGATTTTGAAATTATTTTGAATTGCTATTTGTGCAATTTCACAGCAGAGGACTAAGATGCATTCAGAGAGAAACTGAATGAGGATCTGTATTAGGGGAATTAGCTAAAGAACAGATTGCCACTGACCAGGAATCTCTCTTATCTTTACCCACAGCCTAATGCTTTTTTTCTTGACTCAGTGCAGTGTTGTTCATTTCCCATCCAAGGAATTTCTGGAACTTTTAGGATGGTAAAGAGATAAAGGTTTCGTTGGGAAAGCTGCTGCAAGTGACATATTGTCTGAATAGAAGGCTGTCTGACGTTATCTACATTTTAGTCATTGGGTTTGACAAAAATAAGCAGGGCCTGACACTGGAAAAAGCACCTCAAGATATAAGATATTCCAAGGAATTCCGCGTAAGTCACAGCGAACTGTGAGAACACGCAGCTTCAGCTTGATATCTCATCTGAGCTTTTAGGTCAGGCTGACACACGAGGTTCCCTGAGGAAATAATTTGATGTCCCAGCTTTTATTCTGGCGTTACGCACCATTTAAACTGTTGTTTGCTTTATGAGTATTTTTTACAACTACACACGTGATTGTTTCTTTTAATGTGAACAAATGATAAAAGACACTTATTTATAATGTCTTGCATTTATATAGCGCTTTTCCATATAGATACTGTCTTGGAGGGCTGTAAAGTGGCGGGATTGGGCATTGAGCAAAGGAGGAGGGGAAAGTGACCATAGCCGCGGTCGAAGGGATAGGTTTTCTGGTCAGATTTAAAGATAGATAAAGGTAGAGGTGGAGGGATTCAGACAGGAGTTACAGAGATTAAGGATGAAGTGGCTGAAGGCATGGTCACTGATGTGGCACATCAGGGGTTGGGGATGCACAGTACACTGATTCAATAAAGTATTAATGCAACATGCATTTTCAGAGGCTTCCCTGCATATTCTGTCCTTCATAGATGTTGTCTTCAATGTAGCTCCACAGCAAATTTACACTATGAAATACCCAGACTTATTGACTGAGCTGATTGTATGTGTAGCAGCAAAAGAACTCCTGCAATGTTTGTAATAGTTTTAGAATCAGGCTTCACTGTGATGTCTAATATCCTTCTAATATTCCCCGGCACTGATGCACCACCAGTACAAAGAAAAAGGAGTCGATATTCGTCTTCAGGGAAGGAGTCTGCAGAAGAGGAGAAGTGCAGTGAGGAGAAACAATTGGAGATTTTTGGGGCTGGGCGGGTGTCTAACCCAAGTGGAACTTATCATCGTGCTTATCAGTAACCATACCAGACTGAGAGTTCCACATATATATATCCTTACTCTGTGTGGAGTAAGGAAACTTGCCCAAGGTTTCGCTCTGCCTGGAATTGAACCCAGGTCTCTCACTTGCAAAGCGAGTGCTCTAACTACTGAGCTACAGGACTCCACTCTCTCTCTCCATGAAGGGATACATGATTGTGCTAACCTAATTCCGAAATCTATCAGGTGCAGTTTGGAAGGAGCCGAGACTTGGGGATCCCAGAGCTTGGGTTGGGGATATCCCTGGAGTGAAGAAGGGATTAGGAAGGGTGGAGGCTCTTGTGGAGTATAAACATGAGCGTACACTAGTGCGGCCAAATAAGTCTGTTTTGATGCTGTATATCTATGCAATTCTATGTAACAGAGGGAAAAAAACATAATATCTCATTGATGCCCCAGGTGAAAACATAGCACTTTTTCATCCACTTGGGGGCAAGAGAGAGCTTGAATCCAAGGCTCAGTTTTAGCTCTGTTGTATTCTGGTAAATGAATATGAATTGATTTAAAGGAATACTCCAGATTATAGCATTAATCATATGGGGAGAACTTCAGAGACTTTTTTACGTCACTGTCATGTTCGATGTATTGATGTTTTTGACAGTGTCTGCTGTTGTCCTTTTTCTGATTCTGACTGACGCGTGAGTAAGTAATGGAGAAGATCAAAGCCAATATTTGGTGGATTGCATGAAACTGAAGATTAGCTATAAACCCTTGAACACGGTTATACGTTGACCTGCAGGAAGGCGGGTTCTCATGTCAGGAAGCTGTTTTCAGTCCGAGTTATTCAGAATTATTAAAGTTAAACAGAATTATTCAGTGGCTCCTCTGAGTTCACTTTAAGCAGCTTTCTGATCCTCTCAAGGCTTTTGATCATCGTCTAACCCAAGATCACACAAATCCTTTGGCTCCTATTGCGACACTTTGAAAAATACCCCCAAAGGTTCACTTCTTGCAACACATGACCTCAAGGACCAGACACACTTGGCAAAGAGCCTCCAGAAATAAATATTAGCTGTAACTTGCTGAATGCCAGACATATGGCCTGTCTTGAAACACTTTAAAAGGAGCACTGTCATCGCGGTACTCGGTACGCAGACAAAAGGCGCACACAGCGTGATGCGATGCCGCCAATTAATAATAATAATAATAATCCTTGCATTTGATATAGCGCTTTTCACGTCGGGAGGACGTCCCAAAGCGCTTCACAGAACACACTGTAAAGTGAATTGACTGTATATTTGTGGGCGAACGCGGCAGCCAATTGCGGACAGCAATGTCCCACAAACAATCGTAGATTGAAAATGACCAATTTGTTATTGTTTTTGGTTTTGGAGAGATTATTATTAGGCTCTGTGTGGAGTAAGGAAACTTGCCCAAGGTTTCGCCCTCTTCCTGGAATTGAACTCAGGTCTCTCACTTGCAAAGTGAGTGCTCTAACCACTGAGCTACAGGACTCCACAATTAGATTTCTGCTCGAGTGTTGTACTATATTAGCAGCAGATAAAATGGTCACTCAGTGGCTAATGGGTAACAAAACTGCTCTGTGCTGAGTTAGCTGATATCACCTGTGCAACAATTGGCTTCAGCCAGATAATAATAATAATTATAATAACCTTTGTATTTGATATAGCATATTATCACATCTTTGAGATGTTTCAAAGTGCTTTACAGAATATACTGTAAAGTGAATTGGTCACCTGTGGGGTATCCCAGGGCTCCATCCTTGTCCCTCTTCCTTATCTATATGCTCCCTCTGGGTGATGTCATCTGCAGACATGGGATAAACTTCCACATGTATGTGGATGACACACAAATCTACTTTGCCTCCTCCAGTACTAACTCCAGGCTTGTCTGGCAGACATCAGGGCCTGGACGAGTGCAAACTTCCTGCAGCTGAATATGGACAAGATAGAAGCCATACTCCTTGGCTCCCGTCAACGTCTTCACTCCTGCGGATCTAAACTCCTCAACCTCCCTGGGCTCTCCCTCAGATTCACCGATCCAGTATGCAATCTAGGCGTCCGGTTCGACCCCCAGCTATCCTTCCTCCTTCACATCCGGTCCCTGACCAAGACCACCTTCTTCCACCTCCACCACATTGCCTGCCTCCGACCGTACCACAAATGCAGCTGAAACCCTTGTGCTTGCATTTGTGACCTCCTCCTCGATTACTCAAACGCATTCCTCGCCGGTCTCTCCAGGTCCACTATTCAAAATATCCAGTTCATTCAAAAC